GATCAGTTGAGGATGGTGCCACTCTGATCTGCTATTTTGGGCCTTCTTACATCACAGCTGATCCTTCTAAGTGGTCTGTCTGAAGCACAGGTCATTTGCATGTCCTCAGTCTTTCTCATGGTTAGTTCATGGTTAGTTTGTGGCCCGGTTCACAAGATCAGTTCCTGATTTAATGAACCAGGACATGTACAACCTGCACGTTGGTGGCTGGAGCTCTTTTGAGAGTGCTTCATTCTTCCCTTTTCATGAGCAGCTGAACAAGCCAGGATTCAGCTCTTAACCATCGTTTCCTGTTACCTGTGAACCCAGAAACTGTGGTTAGTGGCTTACAAGTCAGGATGTTAAGCCAACTTCAAATCGTGGAACTGGATCAGAAGAAGTGAAATATTTTACCGCTGTTATTATCATTAGTGTGTAGTTCTGATATTTAATGTGGCTTTAAACTTTTTTTCAGTGTTGTAAAGCACTGTGGGAAGATGGTATGTTTTGAACAGCAACATATATATTTATTAAATACACATTAAAAAGTCACTAACCATGATTTACAGGTTTGCACATTCTTAGGAAGTTATGGTTAAAAGCTGAATCCTCCCTTATTTGTGTGAAGGGAAAAAGCAAAAGCAGAAAAGAAGCTATATTTGAGTGCCTACTACTCGTTCATATCCTGCCTTACTGATCACCCATTGCTATTACTAAGGCTTTCGTGGTGGCTGAGGTTTGCCGATTGAACTTGGTCATCGTTAACAGCTTCTTGGTTGAGAGTGCAGATGAGTAGACTGAAAAGCTCCAACTTTTGCAGATATTCATGCTACAAAATCCAGGCTTCTTGTAAACCTTCTTAGGAGTGCTTTAAAGAAAAACAACGGCAGCTTCTATCCCTGCTGACCCTACACTAAGCCAATCAATTGCAACAAAATACAGTGGTACCTCGGGTTAAGTACTTAATTCGTTCCGGAGGTCCGTTCTTAACCTGAAGCTGTTCTTAACCTGAAGCACCACTTTAGCTAATGGGGCCTCCCGCCGCCAGAGCACAATTTCTGTTCTCTTCCTGAAGCAAAGTTCTTAACCCGAGGTACTATTTCTGGGTTAGCAGAGTCTGTAACCTGAAGCGTATGTAACCCGAGGTACCACTGTACCCATAACTTTATGTTTGGTTAATTTGCAAATATGCTATAGTCACAAATATAACAACATGCTGCCCAGAAGAGCAACTTGGTGAATTCCACGTGTCCGTGAGAGTTTGGAAGATTTGGCATCTGGCAATTGTAGGTATTTAATTTGTTATTAGGGGAGGGTCACTTGTTTTTAAGCCTTACATTTATGGTGTAATAAAGTCAACAACAGAATCTTGACAGGTTCCACTGAGAAGAAACCAGAGCAATCAAGAAGCTTAAGGTTTAACGGAGGCAGGAAATTGCCACTCAGAAAGGGGAAGGAGGATGGGAAGGAGCATTCAGCAAAGAAAAGAAATGGGAAAGAGCTTTTGTTGCACTGATTTCTACAAAGTAGCTGGACAGTACTGGATAGTGCACTCTAATCCGATGGAGGTCTTCTTGTCTCTACTTAACTGGTGGGTATTTGGGTACCTGTTTTAAGAGAGAGAAAATACATATATGTATAAGTGTCATAAATCAAGCTTAGTTTAGAAGTAACGGGTTAATGTTGTTCACTAAAACCTGTTTTCAAAACAGGGATTAGAAAATAAAACCAACTTCACTTTTTAACTTTTCCTGATTGTTTCCCCCTGTTGCTTATTGAATACATGAAAAACCTGCCCTGTAAAGGACTGGAGGGGATCATCTGCTTCTGCCTAGCTTGTGTTTTCCTTTTCTGCCCACATGTATGCTACTAGTATGATACTGCAATAGAGTTTTCTGTTTCAGGGACATGCGGGTTGATTTTTACGGGTACTACCATTAGTGCCTTCCATCTTCGACTTTCTCAGAGATTGCTTGATTCATTTTCCAACCCTAATTATGCTCAATGTGTCACTTGGTCATAAGGAAAATTCCAGTAACAAAGCATGTTCGGTCACCTTCAACAGGTGGATAAGTTCCATCCTAGAATTTCAAGTCCAGAAACAGCTCCTAAATTTTGGCATAATACTAACAGTTCCCATAGATACATCAGTGATTTGCCAGTAGATTATACAAATAATTTGTCTTCACGAAAATTAGCAGAAAAGGGGGAGAATTCTGAAATAAAGCATTAGGCAAGGAGGATGTTATTTGTTCCAGATAGGGGCTGGACAACTTATTGAGAGCAAATTTATTCTTCATACAACTGTCCAGGGACTGGAATGTTTGTTACGGCACAATCCAACTGCTTCATAGGTAAAGGTAAAGTGACCCCTGACCATTAGGTCCAGTCGTGGCCGACTCTGGGGTTGCGGCGCTCATCTCGCTTTATTGGCCGAGGGAGCCGGCGTACAGCTTCCGGGTCATGTGGCCAGCATGACTAAGCCACTTCTGGCAAACCAGAGCAGCACACGGAAACGCCGTTTACCTTACCGCCGGAGCGGTACCTATTTATCTACTTGCACTTTTGAAATGCTTTCGAACTGCTAGGTTGGCAGGAGCAGGGACCGAGCAACAGGAGCTCACCCCATCGCGGGGATTCGAACCGCCAACCTTCTGATCAGCAAGTTCTAGGCTCTGTGGTTTAACCCACAACTGCTTCATACTCTATAATAATGTTGGTGTCAGAGTTATAAAACATGTGTGTTCAGGTATTGGTAGGCGTTACAACCAAACCCTCTAGATACATGCAAAATTAAAGTGTGAATACTTTCTGTCTGACATTTCAAAATTTTTCACCCCCCCCCCAATAAAAGTCAGAATGGTGGCACACTTTTTACCACAGTTTTGAAAACTAGTAGGCCCAATGAGAGCCAGAAATTTATTGTGTATGTGCAAGTTCGTAGCAGATTTGATCAAGGGAAGGATACCTTCTGTTTGTCTAATAATATAAGGTTCTTCACAAGTATAAAGGTTTGGGCTTTTAAAAAATGATTATGGCATTGATTTTCCCTCAGTTCTTTAATACATGACATTAGATTTATGTGTAACATCTTGCAAAATAAAACTGTTTTCTTTGGGAAATACATTTTTTTTTTCTTATTCCCTCCAACCTGCCAAAACTCAAACTGGAGCAGTCAGCAAACTGACGTCACCACTTTTTCTTCAGGGATAGTAGATTATTTCTTAGTTCCAGTTTAATACAAAACAGACTAGCGAGAAGAGAGAAGAGGAGGAACCCCTCTCCTTTCATGCTTGCCTTTGTATCGTGCTAAAATAACCAAGTAACAATAAGTAAAGAAAGGTGGTAGAGAGTCATTTTGGCTGGACCCACCTTGACTAGTGTGACTGTTTTTATGGGGGTTTTCAGAAGCACAGAATTGACCCTCGTTTTATTATTTTTACTAGACCCCTTGATGATAGACAAACAAGGGTAACCTGAGGCCAACATAACCAGCAGGAAATTTGGGTCACGGGTAGTTACATTTTTAAAACTTGTTGGTTTTTTCAGGGCTGTTCAATCAGTGTAATTGATTGATTTGTAACATCAGAGAGAGCTCCTAAATCATTTAGAGGTGCTGGCTAATGACAAGCTGCTATAGGGTTTTGTTTGAGGCAAATTTCCAAGCTCTGTGGTGTTTGGATGTAGTCTGAAGAAGCTGGCTTGTTGCCTGTTTTCATATGTATCGCTGTCCAGTTGTAATATAAAACACCATCTTTAGACATGTCAGGTATGTAATTATATAATTCTTGTATCAGTAGGAACAACAGTGCAAAACAAGAGAGAGTCAGGCGGCAGACTGGTGCTGGGAAGTAGTAATTTGTTTTATGCAGAGTTCCCCACTGCTTTTGAACATTGTCTTTCCTCAGGGTCTTCATGTGTTTATTCTCATGCATAAAAAGTCAACTTTGCCAAAGAAAAAATTCTGGTGGTTTTTGACCTATGAGATTAATACCGCAATCCTGTACGCCCTTACCTCTTGTTGAACTCAGTGAGACTAACTTTTCAGTAGACATGCAAGGATTGTGCTGTAAGGCACATGAAAACTCTCATCTATGGTTAAAATGTTTTCTACACTCTTCATCAAATTATTTTCCACTGCCAGCCTGATGTCTGCCTCTTCCAGTTATTTTTCTAAACGAAACAGAAATTGTATGCTGATATTAATTATCATTATTTAATTTGTAATCCGTTCTACCTTTTATGCTTATGGCAGGCTGCAGACTAGTTTTCAAAAGGCTCAAGTAGTCAATGAAATAAAATATTTTTTAGAAAGTGTGGCTTATCTATTTTTTTTAAAAAAACTTTGGGTCCAGAATCAGTGACCACTATGTACTGAAGCAATTTCCTGCAGACCCACCAAGTGTCCCTGTTTTCCAAGAAGGACAGTCCCGGATTTACATAAACTGCCCTGGTTTCTTATTTTATCCCAGAATGTCCCTCTTTTCCTTAGGACATCCCTATTTTCACCAGAGAACTGTTGGAGGATATGGAGATATAAAACTCCCCAAGCCAAGGAGATGAGTAACTATACAGCCTTTAGAAGACATCTGAAGGCAGCCCTGTAAAGGGAAGTTTTTTAAATGTTTAATATTTTATTATGAACCTAGAGTGGCTGGGGCCACCCAATCAGATGGGCGGGGTAATAATAATAATAATAACAATAATAATAATAATAATAATAATAATAATAATGTGTCCTATTTTCATCAGAGAAACTTTGGAGGGTATGTTCCTGTGCCCCAAGAAAGTCTGTCACTTACATAAAATCCCACACTGAAACAGATCCAGGCAACTATCAAGTCACTTTGAGGGGAAGGGCAATAACTCATTGTAAATATCAGGGAAAAATTTGATTCACTTCTCATTTAAAGACGAACCTACCTAAGCTGTACTCTGTGAAACAATATGTGAACCACAATGCAGCCTTCCTTCAAATTCTTATAATGTGGTTGTTCCCCCAACCCCCTTTCTATTTGCAGAATATTGGGGAGTCAACATTACCTACTGTACTGAACCAATTGTTGCCTATCATCAAGTCTCATAAGAACAGGACAGATGATGATTATACCCCTGAAGACTTCCTTGTATTGCTGGTGTATATTTACTCCATAGTTGGGGAACTCAAAACTGGAAAAGAGTTGGATGAAGCTGAAAGAGAAGTGAAAGAGGCTCTCGTCCAGTCTCTCTGTGACGAGCCTGAACTGCCTTTCCTATTGCAGAAAATAACAGGTAAGTGTAGATTCCCTTCCTTGTTCAAGGAGCAGGCCTGTTCAGACACAGTTTAAGCTATAGACTTCAATCAATTAAAAATAGATTAATTATTCTGAGGCTTTAAGGGTGCTGCTAATACCTGCTGTTTGCTTTAACTATTTCTTTATAAAACGTATTGCACACACATTTATTGAAGAGAATGAAATCCTATTCTAGCAAATTAAGTGCAATTCTATATGCATCTGTTGAGAAGTAAGCCTCATTGAGTTCCATGGGACTTACTGTTAGGTAATTGCATGTAGAATTGCAGCCTAAACAATGTTGTATGTCCAGGGTTTTAGAGATGTATGGCATAGTAAATGATTTTCTGTGCTGGGCTAAAGCAGTGAGGAGTGTAGAGTTGAGATTGCCTAGCTGTAACTCATGCAAAGCTTTGTAGTCAAATGTTTCTGGGCTGGGGAAAGTGTCCTCTGCTTTCTGACAACTTTTCAGAAGTGCTGCAAAAAGGCCGGTGCGCCAGTTTAGAAGGTATTGCCAGAACTCCTGAATTGGCTCCATGATGTTGCCTACCGGCCATATCTAATTGGCTACACGGCCTTGTGATATCTTCAACATTCGTCAGGTGATCCCCAATTGGTTGGGATAATTCTTTTTAGGAGAAAATGGTTTTAAAAGTAATGGACACTGAAGCAACTGTCACCCTATCAGTGTCCAAAATCTGAACAGGCATGAAAAGAGAATTCGGAGAGAATTTTAGCGTACTAAGTAAACTACTTTCTTCAGAAAGCGTTCATGTGTTTACATGTTGTGAAGCAATAGAGATAACTAGGCTTTTTTTAAAAAACACAGAAAAAAATATTTTTAACCACTCCCAATGATGTTGCTCACAATGATGTGACTACCCTTGTCTCCTCAAACAAGTTTGCGCCGTCAGGTAGGTAATAAACTACAAAAGTGTATCAGGGGATCTTCCTTCTCCGCTGCAATGTGTGGACCTCTGTGTTGGATAAAAGATTTTAATTCCACGTTACCAAGGCCTCCACGTCTATCCACTTAGGTCAACATCTGTGATTCAGTTTCATTCGATGGGGAGTTAATATAGTGGGATACATCCTGTAACTTCCTGCTTTTCTCCTATTAGTGTGGATTCTGTGGCTTAAAGGAAGCATTTGTAATTTGGTGTATGTGGGTGAACTCAGTGATTTGCATCCAGCGGTTCTTGTGTAAGCAGAGGACATTTTGTAGTCATGTATGGGGTTCCCTGGGACGCGGGTGGCGCTGTGGGTAAAAGCCTCAGCGCCTAGGGCTTGCCGATCGAAAGGTCGGCGGTTCGAATCCCCGCGGCGGGGTGCGCTCCCGCTGCTCGGTCCCAGCGCCTGCCAACCTAGCAGTTCGAAAGCACCCCCGGGTGCAAGTAGATAAATAGGGACCGCTTACTAGCGGGAAGATAAACGGCGTTCCGTGTGCGGCTCTGGCTCACCAGAGCAGCGATGTCACACTGGCCACGTGACCCGGAAGTGTCTCCGGACAGCGCTGGCCCCCGGCCTCTTGAGTGAGATGGGCGCACAACCCTAGAGTCTGTCAAGACTGGCCCGTACGGGCAGGGGTACCTTTACCTTTACCTTATGGGGTTCCCTGCATTTTTTTCCATACCCCCATTCCTGATCAACCCCACATTCTCCACTGTCTCTCTCCCCCCTTCCCCCCGCATGCCATGTCCCACACTGTTCTGGAGGGTCATCTATCCACAACTCCTCATGTCCACCAGCTCCTCATGGCTCTCTTGTGGAGGGGCATCCTTGAATAACAGATAAAAGGAGTGGCTTTTCTGGAAGTCACAGAGCTGCAGCAGAAAGGCGGAGGTAAAAAGAAGAAGAAGCTCATTTTCAATCAGAAGTCCGCTCACAGCCGTTAGGTTCAACTCCAAGGATTAAAGACGCCTGCTTCTTGGTAGAAAAGCAATGACAAACCTAGACAGCATCTTAAAAAGCAGAGACATCACCTTGCCAACAAAGGTCCATATAGTTAAAGCTATGGTTTTCCCAGTAGTGATGTATGGAAGTGAGAGCTGGACCATAAAGAAGGTTGATCACCGAAGAATTGATGCTTTTGAATTCTGGTGCTGGAGGAGACTCTTGAGAGTCCCATGGACTGCAAGAAGATCAAACGTATCCATTCTGAAGGAAATCAGCCCTGAAGGACAGAACGTGAAGCTGAGGCTCCAATACTTTGGCCACCTCATGAGAAGAGAAGACTCCCTGGAAAAGACCCTGATGTTGGGAAAGATGGAGGGCACAAGGAGAAGGGGACGACAGAGGACGAGATGGTTGGATAGTGTTCTCGAAGCTACCAGCATGAGTTTGACCAAACTGCAGGAGGCAGTGGAAGACAGGAGTGCTTGACGTACTCTGGTCCATGGGGTCACAAAGAGTCGGACACGACTAAACAACTAAACAACTAAACAACAACAACAACAAGCCATATTGGAGATGCACCCAAGCATGTGCTGAAAGTTACTACTGAATTTTAGAAATTGTTACAACTGTTTTATGTTCTTAAATTTGGCTGCATTTCTCTCTATTAAAGCAGCTCCCCTCCCTTTTGATCGATGTACTTAATGTCGGCTTTGGAAATTCAAAAGGCATCTTCAGTAAACCACTGCTTTGTGCACTTGATCTATTTTCTCTGGCACTGCAAGTAGTAACATTTCTAAAATGAACATTGAATGTTTTATTGAATGTGAATATTGGCAAACCAAAAGGAAAACACCCATTAGGCTCTTGTCCGTGGGTTTTGCTGTTCTTGGGAGGACTTGTGTGAGGCCTATAGATGCCATTAGCACACACTTCACTTGGTTTAATTACTAACAGAGTAATGGTTGGTGTGTGTTTTAATCTATTAAACTCTACAGAGATCACGCTTGACTTTGCTCCTGTGATCAACTGGGGTTGGTAGGAATTATAAAGATGCCAGAGCAGGTTGGGCCCTGGAGCAAACTTCTCTGCAACTGTTTCAAGTGTTGTGATACGTACTGCAGAAACTGGCCTACAGTCTGTATCACATGAACACGCATGGAGTGCTTTTGAAGGTGCACTGACTTTGAACAGATCTACACCTATTAGAAGCTATCCAAAGGCTCATGTGGGAATTCCTTGCAGATGACCACAGTGCCTGCAGGCAGGCAGTCAAGTTGTGTATCCATAGCAGTGACCAGAGGAGGAATTGACCCCTGGGGGGAGCGCAGAGAGAAGAAACGCCATGGTGAATCTGCAGCAGCACAACTGAATACCTTCATCTGCCCCAGCTGCAACAAAACATGTCTCTCCCACATTGGTCACTGCTCCATTGTCTTCCAAGATAGACGAATGCCAACCAACCTAACTGACATAGACAGTAGGGTTCAGGTTATTTTTGTTGATTTCTTTCAGACCTTGAAATTCCAATTCTGAGGTCTCAGAAGAACCAGCGTGGTGTACTGGTTAAGAGCGTAATCTGGTGAACCGGGTTCGCATCTCCGCTCTTTCACATGCAGCTGCTGGGTGACCTGGGCTAGTCACACTTCTCTGAAGTCTCTCAGCCCCACTCACCTCACAGAGTGTTTGTTGTGGGGCAGGAAGGGAAAGGAGATTGTTGGCCGCTTTGAGACTCCTTAAGGGGAGTGAAAGGCGGGATATCAAGTCCAAACTCTTTTTCTTCTTATAGAAAGTAAGCTTATGACTGCTAGAGTGGCCATAGCAAACTTGCATGGTCAAGTCCCCTGTGGCGACCATCAAGAGAGAAGCACAATGCTAATAATGCAAGACCTTCGAGGAAATTCAGAGCCCCATGTACTTATGGGTCCTTAGCAGTGCTAGCACATTCTTCCTCTAGCCCTTTTGTAGCTAAAGTCAGATATGTCCAGCATGTTGTTGTTGTTTTTTAAACTAACCTTTGTCTATGTACTGAAAATATTTTCTTCAACTCTTATTGGATAATGTTATTACAAGAAAGCTTTGAGAGATTTTTTCACACCACCCAAGAAAAAAATTAGGAAAGGCCCAAATTAACATTTTTGCATCCAGACATGATTTGTGTGTGTACTTGTATTAGGACTGGAGATTTTAACTGAGATGATTAAAGAACATGTGGCAAATAGCACAAGTAGGTTACTGTTCAGTTTTTCCATCGTGTGGATAACTCATTTGTAACAATTTTCAAATCCTGCCAGGCGTAGACTAGTACAGCATCCAGTACAGCTGTTTATGTGGAAGTACAAAATAAACAACTGTTGCAGAACATAATGCAGATGGAAAAAAATGTGGTGTGCGTGCAAACAAAAGCACAGCCACGCTGCATAAGATTTCTGGCACGTTCGACAAAATATTGTTTCTTCTATTGTGGCTGCATTGGAGACTCCAGAGAAAATGTGAGCCATCACTTTCCCCCTTGCCATTCATTTCTACACAACAGATGTACATAGATAGCCAACCGCATTGGCTAACGTTAATAAATAGCTGTATCAGTCTCAGACATCCATGGCAATTGCTAGAACGTGAGTGAGAGTGAGGGGGAGGGAGGAGAAAAGGACAATTCCATAGAGTTCTCTTGCAAATGAACCAGATGTGCTCTCAATAAATACTTGGTTCTTCCTTTACATCTGTATAGGATAAAGCAAAATCTATATTATGTGCGTACTATCGCATATGACAAATGCGTGTTTACATAGAACTATAAGTCTCTACCAGTAGCAGTGAAAGAAACAGTAGAGTTGGACATTGCTTCACATATTTATTAACACTGTACAAACACATTAGAAGTAATAATATATCTGCATTTTTTTGTTGTGAAAAAGATTGAATATCTGGAAACGGATGGCGTTTGAAGAATCTTTTAAAAATAAGAAGCCTAGAAAGGCGCTTAGGGATATAGCTATTAATGATAAATTAACATGTGCCATTAAGGTAAGACGGGGAATATATGCAGGAGAAATGATTTTGAGGAGATATGGAGACGGTGTTTGTAGAATTTGTATTGTTAAA